TGTGGACGTGTGTGAGGGTGGGTGGTGTGTGTGGGTGTGTTACACGTGGTATGTGAGGGTGGGTGGTGTATGTGGGTGTTACATGTGCTGTGGACGTGGTGTGTGACGGTGGGTGGTGTGTGTGGGTGTTACACGTGCTGTGGGCGTGGTGTGTGAGGGCTTGCTGGCATGTGGGTGTGGTTGCCCAGAAGGCCCTGGCCCCCAGAAGACTTGGATGAAACCTGAGATGAGGTGGGATCTGGGCTTGCAGAAGCCACTGTGATGAGGTTGTGTCTTCACCCTGGTGTTGAAGAGGCCCGCTGCACAGTAGCATTCTGCCCTGGAGGGTCTGAGGCTGCCAATCTGCACAGAAGTCCCCTGCCTCTTCTATTCTCCTTGAAGCTCCAGTCTGAATTTCTCACTCTGGTTCCAGATGACTGACCCACGGAACCACCAAAGCTCCTCCACTGTGTTTCTACGTCAACCCTCTGCTCCATCCTGTGCGTTCTGACGGGTCAGGCCTGTCGGTGGAGCACAAGTCCCCTGGGGGAGTCCCCAGCTGAGCAGCCTGGGCCGTATACTCTCGCCACTCTCTCCCTCGGAGCACTGGGCAGGCTTGACGTTTCCACCCTTGGTTTGGCAGTGAGATGTCTCAAGTCTATGCTCTGCTCTGTCTGAGGCATTGAGGCTGCACATTCCTCAGCTGTTTGTCCTCGGCCCTCCCATTTCTCAGTTTACCCTGTGTGTCCCACCCTCCCCCTCGTGCCATGGCTCAGAGGCAGCTCCTCCCCACATCTCACCTCTGGTCATGGGACAGGTCCATGGCTCTGATCCCGGCATCACAGCCAGGGTAGATGTAGAGTTGCTTGAAGTCACAGGCCTGCCAGACCTCCACCACACCATTGTCCCCTCCCGTCACCAGGTTCTGCCCGTCGCTGCTCAGGAGAATGGCCTTCAGGAGAGAGAAGAGAGGACCATGTTTCTCAGAGGGTCCCTGCCACACGTGTGTCTCTGACTGTGCTCTCACCACCTGTCCACATCTCCATGGTGAACCAACCACAGTGCAATGCAGGCTTCACTGAGCACAGAAACACAATGTCTCAACAAAATCAAATTATGTTACAATGTCATTGGAGTCCCAAGGAGGGCAGGGCCCATCTGGACGAGGAGTACTTTGGGAATTCAGGAAAATGAACAAAGCTTATTGCAAACGACTTTTAAAAGAGGTGTGACACTATGGTCTCTCCGTGTCTGGAACAAAGAAGACAGACGGGAAGGGAAGGTAGGCTGAAACACTCAGTCCATAGGAACCCACAGGAACGGGCCCCACAAACCCAGGCTCCACACACCACCACTGACCATCAACAGGAGGCACATGAAAAAGGCCAGGATTACTGTCCAAGAGAGGCTGGTGAGGCCCCTTAGCTGTCCTTCGATCTGTAAACCAAACTCACCTCTGTGCTCAACTTTCAGCAAAACAACAGAGGGACCTACATGGTCCCAGTGACACCAGGGAGGTGCTTACTCCTTAGAAAAACTGGCCACTCAGGCCAGAAGAGCAGCAGCTGCCCAGGGATAAACCCAGAAGGCAGGAAGGGGCAGTGTAGAGGATGAAGGGAAATGAGAGTCACAGGGAGGGATGCAGCAGGGTGATTCGTGGATACTGTAATCAATGCTATAAAATGCAATGCGTATGTACAGACAATAGGTCTGTTTTCTGGCCTTTAATTCCTAATCTCTCACGCACCTGATGGACCAGCTCCTGTAGTTCAGAGGCACACGTGTTGGCTGCACACAGCTCATTTTATCCCAGCTTCTACAGCTAAAGTTCTCAGGCCATGAAGGAGGCTTAAGGGTGCTGGGCGAAACGATGGATATAATGTCCTTAGCGGTCCAGCCCCTACGCACATAGCAGCTCTCACCTCTGACGTGGTAATTACCCTCTGGGGTGATCACTGGAGAGGACGTGAACTTTAAGTTCATTCAGTGTCAGTCTTCAGCATTTCTCGGTCTCCTGTGCATTTTACTGTGGTAAATCAGTATGTCTGCAAACGCCTGACGTGCCCATGCCTTCCCTTACAGTTCAGGAATGCTAACCATCTGACATGTGCCCCCACAGTGTCCTTCCTAGTGGCCTTGGAAGTCCAGCGCAGCTGTCCCCTGAACACTGCTACCCCCACCCCCCGGCCCCTGAGTCCACTTTACTCATTTGGCTTCGAAGGCTGTAAATCTTTATGGATGGCAGAGTGGCCCATGGCTTTACGCTGCTGTCTTGGTTAGTGCCACCAGCGCTGCCGCTGCCCCTCGTCCCTGGTGGACCCTGTCCCTACACATCTCTAGATCTTATTCACTGGAGACTCTCATCTCATTTTTCCTGGTAGTGCAGTGATTCAGGTGTCGATTGCTAGCTGGCTGTTTAAGCCCACCTGTCGCTCCTTGGGAGAAAGACGAGCCGCCTCCTCTGAGGATTCAGAGCCTTGGTGACCCGCGGGAAGGAAATCTGAGGGAGAACCTTGGACATCTTGGCTGTGGGGTGACGTGTCCTTGAGGTCACTGTGGTGGCATCGGGATGGTACTGCCCCTCCTGAGTCACCAAGACTTCATCATGCGTGAACATGGATGGGACACACAGTACTTGGCATGCTAGGCTTCTCTCTGGACCCTGGAGGGACTCTAGGGGGAGTCTCTTAAGGGAAAACAGATCCCTCGGGAGCAAAGACCTGTCATAGAGTCAGTTCTGACGGGCAGTGACCCCGTGAGTTTCCGAGGCTGTGAGGGTAAGGGGAGTGGAGTGGCTGGTGGCTTCCAGTGACACTCTGCTTTCACTCAGCATCCTGCCCGGCTCGTCCCCAGGGCTCCTCTCCCTGCAAAACTGTCACCTCTCCTGGGGTCAGCTCCCCAGAGTTCCTCTCCACATATGAGGGGCATCTCCCTGCTTGAGCCTGATGCGGGGTGCAGGCTCCCCTGTGTGGGGCCCTGGTGACAATGTTGGGGTGCAGGCTCCCCCGTGTGGGGCCCTGGTGACAATGTTGGGGTGCAGGCTCCCCCGTGTGGGGCCCTGGTGACAATGTTGGGGTGCAGGCTGCCCCGTGTGGGTCCCTGGTGACAATGTGGGGTGCAGGCCCCGTGTGGGGCTCTGATGACAATGTTGGGGTGCAGGCTCCCCCGTGTAGGTCCCTGGTGGCAATGTGGGGGTGCCGGCAAATCCGTGTGGGTCCCTGGTGACAATGTGGAGGCACAGGCTTACCCGTGTGGAGTCATTGATCTCCATCTGGGCCAGAAGCTTGCCATTGATGCTGAAGTTGCTGAAGCGTCCACGTTCGTAGTAGATGATGCAGTGGCCCTCGCTGGACACAGAGATCAGGCGTGGGAATAGGCAGTTCTCCGGTCCTTCGAGGGCTCGTAACAAGTCCCCAGTGATGGTGTGGACCAGGCAGGGGCCTTCTGTGGGGGGATGGTGGACAGAGTCAGAGAGTGGGGAGATGCTACACACCAAAGTCACTAACCTGCAGTCTGTGTCACCAGGCTCACTGCAGGGGATGCGAGCCAGAGAGCTGACTTGTCAGAATGCTGACATCCAGCTTCCACACAGCACACACACACACACGCACGCACATACCCCCCTCAATGCCTTGTCCAGGTCATTACATCATAACCTCCCTCTTCAGGCAATATCCATCAAGACAGGCACAGTTCACAGGCCTGCTATTCCCACACACTCTCTCTTCATTTTAAAAAAAAATTACTGAGACATTTGGAAGAATTACCACTTATGAAGAGTGGTCCTCTTTCTCTAGAAGCATCCAATGTCTTACCACTACACCACAAAAATACACACGTGACCCACAAACAGCACTCTGGAGCCAGCAGAGAAGGATGTCAAGTGGCTGCTTGGGTGGTTTGCAACTAATACCCTTAAAAACTCTAAAGAAAATATAATAAGAACATTTACATGGCAAGATATACACTACAGAGCCTCTTTTCAGCTTTGACAGAATTTCAGAGGATGGCGAGAACACACATGCAGTGTGGGATGGGTTTATTTTGTCTGTGTTATCTTTTTTCCCCTGCAGAATTGTTGACAAGACTAAAAATTACCAGTAAAAAATTAGGTTAAATTATTTAAAGCTTATTTTAAATAAAAGTAATTTAAAAATCCTATTTCAAATAATAGGTTAATGTGGTTTTAATATGATACAGTCAAACAGAAAGAAGACACATGGCCTTTAAGACAAGGAAAATAATATTATATAGCTTTATCTAACTTTTTTCCTGATCATTATTATCAAGGTATCAGGATCTGGTGGCTTGGTGGTAAGGAGTCACGCTGCCAAGTCAAAGGACCACAGGTCAAATCCCCCATCTCCTCCACAGGAGGAGGGTAAGACAATCTCCTCCACGGTGACAGCCTGCCAGTGAAAACTCCCTGGAGGCCCAGCACCTTGATGGTATGTCACGGCCACAACATTTTAGAAGTAATAGAAAAATGTAAAAAACCAAAAATCACCTCTAAAATTAATGATTTTACAGAAAAGTAAGCTTTTTTTCTCATATGCTTTTTTCTTTTGTTGTGTTAGTTTTGCTGGAGAAACAATACTATTTATTTTCTGGTTTTAGGTTTTGTTTCCTCTTTTCCCAGTTACAGACCTCTGAAGACCTCATGTGCTCACCCCTGATAATCTAATCCTAGGCACCAAGGTCAAGCCCTAGTCCCTGGCGGTGGCCACGTCCTGCTCTGACCTGCGGCAGAAGGAGCAGACTCATGGTGCTGGTCACTACCACCGCCGAGTCAAAACCCCTCACAGGTCCTGCACGTGAATCACTCTGAATGCACTGCCCTTGGGTCAGTTCAGACTGGAGACCCTGTGGACAAAGCGGAACCACCACAGGGACCCCTTCAAGGGAGCACCGTGTCACCTCACCTGCACTTGCTATATGAGGAGATCTGCCAACCTTGAAGCCCTCCTGCACCACCAGCTGCCTTCCTGCTGGTCACCCTGCTACCACTGGGCTCCTCTTGTACAGATGTGGTCACTGATGTCTGTCTGGCTGCTGGGCGGTTCTCATTCACTGTGTCAGAACCGCCCAGCAGTTTTCAGGGCACACTCTCTATGGGAGCCGTCTTTAAGGTCCTCCCCCCAAATCCACTGATGGTCTTATGATCAGCTTAGGACCAAGATCTGGAGCCACGTGTCTGGACACTCCCCAAGCTGTGCTCCAACCACCAACAGGAGCAGTCCTGGGGAGGATGGGCACTGGAGGTGAAGACCTCATCAGGAGTGCCCAGGGAGCAGCCCCAACCTGCACCCCCAGCCCCCGCCTACACATGAGGATTTACTGCAGACCCCATCCCCGCCCCCAATTGTGAGCACTTACTGCGCTCCCTGGCCCCCTCCCTGCATCAGGGTGTTTAACTGACCCCTCCCTGCATCATGGGTGTTCACTGACCCCCTCCCTGCATCATGGGTGTTTACTGACCCCCCTCCCTGCATCATGGGTGTTTACTGTGCCCTGTACTCTCCCTGCATCAAGGGTGTTTACTGACCCCCTCCCTGCATCAAGGGTGTTTACTGACACCCTCCCTGCATCATGGGTGTTCACTGACCCCCTCCCTGCATCAAGGGTGTTCACTGACCCCCTCCCTGCATCATGGGTGTTCACTGACCCCCTC